TGACTTACTCAGGGCCATTGTGCATAGAGTGCAGCGCACAAATCGAAACGAAAATGAAACTCCAAAGTTAGTAGAACTCCGATAACTCCTTCTGCAAGCAAATTAGGCGAAGTGGGATCGGGAGTTTCTTAGTTAGGTGCCGCAGGCGGCTCAAGCGCCGGAGGTCGTTGAATGATCTTCGTCCTCCATAGGCGCAGCGCTTTTAGAGGCAGGCATATGTAAGCCGTAGATAAGTCGGGGTCCGTCGTTGTATAAGGGATTTTCAGGTTACACCTGTTTCCCCGGCTACTACCCGAGAGGGTGCGGATGTTTTGGTATCAAGCAGCATGCCAAATCATGCCGCGACACCCCGTTAATTTCCGATCAATTTCTTTTTATTCTTATTTCAATGAGATTAGAATTCATATTACTTTATTTCGATACAATTATAGTGCGGACAGAACAATGCATAAAAATTAGAAGTGCGATTAACAGTAAATCGAGATCCGTTGTTCGTTCACCTAGACGCACACATAAACGATAAATAATATTTTACACACAGAAAAAAGTTTACGCTAATTGGTCGCACAGGATTTATTGAATATAAATCCTAAATGCCAATTATTATGTTACTAAATAAATACAACATTAGAACCATTAAAATAAATAGCGTTTCACGCGAGCCGTATTCTTGTAGAGGCGGGTCGGCAAGACACCGTAGCGTAGTGATGTACTTTTTTCCATCTACCAGACAGTAGTAAAACTACTCGCATCGTCCTATGTTGATGCTCCTTCGTAGTTTAGTTAGCTCACGCTATGTGTAGGATGTAAGGGTAGCTACTCAGAATTTCCCGAGATAAAATCTTTAGCTTTCAGCTAGGATTTCTCCGATTTCTCTCCTTCACTGGTGGATCGTGGCTACATCCTTAATTATTACCTACATAAAAAATACCGTGACCAATTTTTTTTTGTCAAATAGCATAAGGAACTTCGTTCCTATCGGGTGTCCCACGATACTACACTCCTATATTTATTTCAAATTAGGTAACCGAATGCAGGTTTTGAACATCAATCTAAGCATAAACAACTAATAAAAATCACATCATTAGTTGATCATGCTCAGATTGGCGTCATCAATCATAAGAAATCGTGTTTATTCACAAAAAATGATTTATTTCTTCTTAGTCTTTTCTTATTGTTTCTTATTTTTATGAGGAATATAATGACCATTTCAAATACTATTTAATAAAAATAAAAATGTGATGTATTTTTTTTGCAATCAGAATGTCACTTAAATATAATTGAAACGTTTCTTTAAAATCCGCCAAGTATAATTTCCTTCACTTTAATATTCAAAGTACTTTCAATTGAATATTTATTGATTTTTATTTATTTCATTGTAAAATTGTATAGATATATAAATGTAGTTAGGTACTAGGTTAAATAATGTTATTCTAATTACGGCCGTATCTTTTTATTCTGTTTATGTATACTGTTCTTCCAGTTGACGATAGAAGATATATTTTTTGTAATCATTTTGTGAACACACGTTCACGGTATGACTATTCTACTAATACTGAGCTCTAAATACCTACCTTTTTATTTTTAGTTCCCATTACAGAAAGTTTTGCCATCTAGTTGCGAATAGGTTTAATTCTGTGCCTCCTGTGTAAGTGACACAAGTAAATAATCAACACTTTACAGAAGTACAAGATTTAAAAAAATCAATTATCCGTACTACACGTATTTCTAATGCAACACGGTCCGAGAAGCTTTTTATAATCACTATTTTGTGTTTCTGGTGCAGGTACAGGCCAGCGGCCTCATACTCGTGAGCCTCGTATAGGTACTGCGATAATCTCTATACCAAATTCATCGACACACAACCTCACAAACATTCTTTTTTAACATAATATATTCAACCTCCTTGAACAATGATAATAAGATATCTGAGGAATTCTATGACACAAGATCCGATCCAAAGACCGTCCGTCTCATTTTGTATGTTTTGAACAATTATACCCTTCAATATAACAGGAGTGAGTAGCTTGCGCAAGAGTGTGATATCTAGTTTTGCCAGCAACAGAAGCAAATCAAAAGAATGCAATCTAGATACATAATTGACAGAATGAACAGAAACCTATCTTATTAGAACATCAATAACTATTGAAACCTATATGAGATAACCTATCAAAAGAAATATTTAGTACGTAATCTTCATAAGCAAGGTGGTACAAATGAATTATTACCTTATTTTCGTTGATGCAGATAGGTATAGTATAGTATATACCTAGTAGGCCAAAACCTCCTTTCTAAGTAGAGGCCTATGTCCAGCAGTGGACTATTAAAAGCTGTCGATGATGATGATGAGATAGGTACACTATCTCATCATCATCATCATTTAAAGGTACACTTAAAGAGACTTGTGTTTTACAAGAATTTCTCTTTGGCGCATCATATTTTTTACAATCTATAATAATTTGCTTTGGTGTTAAATTAGATAGACATTTTTATTTAAAATATCACCTAAGTTAGAAAAACTATTAAAGGAAATTGTAATAAAAGGAAAAAGGATTATTATTTTAAGTTTTGATGAAAGATTTTCAAAAAAGTATTTTCCTCTGAATTACTATTACTTATAAGTATTACTTATAAAAGGTAGACGGATGGTAAATAATTATCAGGTCCGGTCAAATAAAATTAAACAGTGAAATAAAAGTACAAGTAAGTTTGATTTCATAATGTATTTCAACAACTTCCACCAAGTGCCGACAATCGAGAGTATAAATTAGACAGGGTTACTGGTTTAGTCGATCGAGTTTTCGACACGTATATATTTTGCTAAATATTTGACAAAGCAGAGATTGTTGCTATTATATGTGTTTATCAATGACTCTAAAGTCTGCACAAGAGACGATTTCAATTATTTTTTTATGAAATTAAGATATTTTGAGTTTAAGTTTAGTTTCCATTCCACAAAGTTTAGATAGATAGATAGATAACTCTTTATTTGCACACTAAATTACAGAGTTACAAGAAAGGAACACAGCGATCAAATATCGAGTGTACAAAGGGCGGACTTATTGCTAAATGCAATTTCTTCCAGGCAACCTTAGGATGGATCAAAAGTTGCAGAGAGACAGTAGTAGTTGAATATCTGCATTTGTGAACCTACTATTAGTTTATTATTATCTACTATACATATTACATATACTACACATATTATATTATCTACAAACATTTACAAAGTTTAGTCATCTAGTAACGAATAGATGTAACTATATTTCAAAAAACACTAATTTTTTTAGAATAATTTTGATAAATTAAGTATAAAATTACTTATAAATGAAATGTGATGCCACCCATAACAACTAAACGTCTATAGGAATTTAACACGTTAATATACAAAATTTCGTCCTTTTCTTCTTAATACCACGAAAATATACCGATTTGCGATTTTGCACCACAAGCGCGGAGTACGGACGCTGAGTGTACTATCTAAGCTCACTGTGATGACGTCAGAGCTAGGTATATGCTCCGTGACAACAACCCCCTAAAATATCTAGGTCGACTTAACCAGTAACCCTGCATATGGTAAATAATTGTCTAGTTTATACAGAAAATCAAATTGTTTTAACGCCAAAAAAATACAGACAAAATTCTTTTTTTTCAAGTTATAATTATGTTTGGTCCACTAGTTTGAAGTCGCTCAACGTGGGATAGAGCGAGCGATACTTGGTGTTTTTCTTAGTCGATAAAATTGGAAACGAATTTATTCGACAGCGAACTAGAGTAACCGACATCGCAATCGAATCGGAATGCTGAAGTGGAAGTGGGCCGGTCATGTCTCCAGGCGGATTGATGGCATGGGACTGATGGTCACCAGGCGCTGGAGCCGACATCTGCCGCTACTGCGCCAAGGTCTTCACGACGTCTTTTTGCAAAACTTTATGTAATTTGGTACGTAAACCGAGTATGATTGTCAACGATAGACCGAAGCATGCCCGGATTGCATTCGTGATAACTGAAAAATAAAAAAATCTGCACTTAGCACTACATCTTCATTCATCTTACATTCTTAGTGATACTAAATGTTGTTTATGCTATTTCAGTTTTGAGCGTGGGCTCTGATGTGGCTTAAGTACCCTATCTTAACACTGAAAGTACGTGGACAGTGGGGACACGTTAGCACACCATTACGGTGATTGTAATTATCTTTGAGATTCTCTCGAGAGAGAGAGTCTCTTTTGATATCGAGATCACACCTCTTTTGATCTTTAAAGCTGTAAACATTTTGTTGAACTAAACGCTTCCAATTAGGTCTATCCCTAGCTAAGTTAGCCCACCAAGAGGGGTCTATATTGCATCTCTTCACGTGTATTTTCTGAACTTTTTTAAATATGAAAAACTCTCCGGCTTATTTCCGCTTGCCTTCCTTGAGTTCAGAATAGAACGAATCATCATCATCTTATCATATATCATCAAAAAAAATCTTTTACTAAAAATATTTTTAACTTTAGTATCTCTAGGTATATTATTTTGCCAACTATAAACTAATTTGGTCCCACTCAAATTATGCACTTGGCTTCCACCAAGTTTATGTCCATCAACCGAGCACTTTTGCAGTCAAAGATTAGAAAATTACGACAATGTGATACGAAAAGTTAGGTTACAGGAGATGTTGATCGAAGGGCACGGTATTTGATTATACGGATGGATAGCGGAATATAAGTCAAACTCGGGAGGTCGCATATCTGTGGTTCGCACTGGTCATTACAGGAATTATGAAGCAGTAGTCATCACTACTGCTTCATTAGTGGCACTAAACTACAGTTCTCCAAAAACAATTCAAATCATTCGTACAAAAAGATAAAACCCATTTTGATATATCTAAATTTTGTTTTGTCAGTAATTGAAATGAAAGTAATTGATCGCGGATTTACATATTTTCGAATTTTTATTTCTGTCCGTATCCTTTGCAGCACAATAACAATACAGTAATACGCTTAAAGATTTACTTACTATAATCCACGCTCTCGTAGGCGTTCCATGCAGGCTAGCTTCACTTTCGGAGGACCGGGGCTATGTAACCCCCGGCCGGTAATGAAGAACAACATAACGTTGCGTATGTTAAGGTCACGAAGTCGCCGGATATGGCCGTCTAAAAACACATCGATTACTTCAATGGCTTCCTTCACCCGGTAGAAATGTAGATTAACTGTTACACTATTGATATTGGCAGCCGCGTGATACTGAAACCAACAACAACAATATGTATTACACGTGTCCGACACCGACGAAAAAGGTCCAATGACGCTTAACGAGCACTGGACTCGTCGCGCGCAGAAGTCAGTTGTTAAATAAAAAATGAGACCAAAAACCATGTACTAGGTTGTTCAGACACTTTTTCAGATTTCAACAGACAACCAAAGCATTTAAATGTTGCCTTCTGCTTGTAAGTTATCTTACTAAAGACGAAAGTTTGTATCGATGTTTGTTACTCTTTCACACAAAAACGGCTGAACGGATCTGGATGAAATTTGGCATAGAGGTATATTAAAGAGTGGAATAGCACTATAGCAGGAACAGTGCAGCAGCAAAAGTGAGAATTTGCCGAAAAACATTTGAATGTCTATTCAGTGATGATTTTGAATTTTGTGAATATTTGTTGAAAATGTGTGAAAATTTGTGAATATTTGTTGAAAATGATTTTCTAAATTCAACTTAACTATCTACTTCCTAAAAAAATCTTCAAAAACATTGCAATCGTATCTGTTATTCTTTTGCATTTTAAATGTTGGTAAGTTAAAAAATTATTTTCTGACTTACTTGAATAAGTGAAGCTACGGCTTCGTTTCTGGCTAGCTCGTACCGCTTTTCAAAAAAATTCGCCTTTTCTAAACATAAATCAGCCTCTTTGGTCATACCCCGCTGTTTATGAACTGCGGCTTTTTGCATATGCCTGTAATTTATAGAAACATTATGTTAGAACATAATTTTATTCTAAATGACAATTTTCAAATATAGACTATTAATCGCAATAGATGTTATTATTTATATGTATACAACTAGTTACTGCTCGTGGATACTTTTTCATGACAAGATAGTCATATATTTTTTTTCAATTTTTCTTTTAATAGTAAAATAAATAAATAAAATAAATAAAGTAACTCATTTTACTAATATCATACTTAATTTTTTTAATTACATATTTAATTATCATCGAGATCGCCTTGTAGTCGATTTGACTCTGACTTATACATTTTTAGCTGTTCAGTCGAGCTGTCATGTAAGGTATCTGCAATTATTTTATTATAAGGCTGCTATACGACTGAGAGACAATTCGAGTTCATCAGGGATTAGCATTGTGCGTCTCTAACTACATTGAGAAGGGCATTAGCTACATTATGTACATGAGAGGCCCAAGAATCTGATCTAAGTATCTCTTTAAACTGTCTGGTGCACCTCTAACAATTTAAATAAGATCCTGATGCATGTGGTGCAATGATGTTTCTTAAATATTGTTTTTAAATGTGTAGTTACCTATTCTTTAGAACCAAATGTTTCTCAGTGTCGTCACGGTATTGCTGGACAGTAGACATATCAACACTAATGTTTTCTCCACATATTTCTTCATGGAAGATATTTAAAGCTGAAATCTCGTATATTCGGTCTTGTCCAGAATCCTCAACATCCTTTTGTTGCTCATGTGAGTTTTGATACGACTGTTTTGAGGACTGAAGTAAATGATCACGAGCCTCATTTTGCACATTTTCTAAGAAAGATGTAGCCTCTGAATACGATATTAAGTAACTTTTATTTTCTGCCGGTATTGGTGGAATTACTGGTATTGATCGTAGTACAGGAGGCACCATGTTTTTAGAATAGTTTATTCCCAATGCGTGTAGCAAAATCTCGCTAGTTATATTTTCAGCATAATTTTTGAACATCCTTTCAATTTTTTGTAAAGGTACTCTGTGTATGTTCATGTTGAATAGCTGTCTGGGTATTTTTGCCCAGGGTGTCATTGGTTCTACAACTTCAATGATATAGCCATTCTTAAGTGCTTCTTCTACATAAGGTCGCATTTCCCATATGTCGATATTTGTATTATCTATAATAATGGGGCTTAGCCCTTGAATTGCTGATTCTTTAACTCTATTTAGATTCCATGAGTGGGCATTTGATATGTGTGACTTGTCATATTGATATTTGCCTCTGACCATAAAATAATGATCACTACTAAAGACATGGCTGTTGTAACTAGACAAGGAAGGTCCAATTAGAGTTTCTACTATTAGTCTTGCTAGATGGCTTTTCCCACTACCAGGAAGACCCCTCATAATAATCATTATACGAGAACCGTTCTTGTTATGTGAAATAATATTCCGAATTTGATCTGTCAAAAAATATCGCGATGGCGCTACGGTTCTTTGGGTTATGTCTTTGGGAACAACATTTGTACTTTGAGTAGTCCGCTCGTGAGAAATCGAAGTTACCCTGTTTTGTGATATACACTGGGGTTGTGTGCTTTGGCTTATAGAATCTCGGTGGTCTTTGGTACTGGTTATGGTACCGTCATTTGTTCTTTTCGGTATTTGATCGACGCATAGCTGACCTGTTAAAAGAAAACAAAAACAAACATAAGATACTTCATTAATGAAAGGAAAGAACACATTAGATTTGGTCTCATTGATTACACTTAATACTCGTAGATATAACATTGAATATATTAAAAATTCCTACACACTTTTTTGATGCAATAATAATAAAATTATTTAAAATACACTAAGGAATAAAGGCGAAAAGTGCTTGTAATGGTGAACTCCGACAATCTCACTCTTAGAATTTCTCTTTCTATACCTACTATTCTATGTTGGCAACTATTGATTTTCAAAGCGAGTCGAGTGTAGGGACCCTAGGTAGGTATCTTTTCGTTTGTACTAACATCTCGTACAAGTTAAGGGACTTCCAGTCTACAAGTAATTAGTCCTCATTCTAAATAGACAAACAAAAAAAATGAAGCCCGCTTAGGGTACCAACCACAAAAATATTCAGTTTATAAAAGCTAAAAAGACTCATGTCACATGGTACCTACAGTTCTTTAGCATTTTTTAGGAACCAAGACACATGGTTCTGTTTAAAAGTAGTGTTTTAAGTAAAATACAAATTATATTCTTCTTTTTTATGCTAAAAGGGACCATGAACCTCCGCTAAGCACCCTCATTAATCCCCCTTGGTCCCCTTTGCGTCCAATGTCACCGAAGACAGCAAATCTATTTTATATTTTAACGGAAGCCTTTGAGCTTGCGGAACTCCCGAAAATACATTCAATGTTGATGAAAACCGTCCAACAGTATCATCAGCATTTTCCACGAAAGAAATATTGATAAAGAAAGAAGATAAGTTTTCTATTTTTATGCGCTCTGACCTGGATGATGATTACATTGATGCAAATCAAAAGAAAAATTGACGAGTCAATACAGACCCTAGAGATCTACTCGTAATGCCGAATGCCGGAATGGCCGAATGGATAACCCATCCCAAGATAAATGATTTAAAAAGCTTATTGCATCTTATCCCAAAAGATACCTATGAGTTTTACACAAAATTAACAGGAGACGTAACAGTAGAAGATGACATAGACGGGTATTCTGGTCAAGTAGATTTTGAAATAGAAATGGACAACCTTGATTAGGTACAGAGGCGTGATACGTAAATAAGTAGCTTCGTATACATATTTTTATGAGTAAATCTAAAATTTGTATACCTTTTCAAGTTACAATAAAAATATTATAAAATACAAGTTATGTAAATGTATCTGCCTATCTTTAAGACCTTAGTATACTGTTATATAGAGCCAACCCACAAAACTGTAATTTTGCGATGAGGAACCAGTAGGTTTTTGATTTAAATTAAAAACTAAATCAAAGAAAAATCAGAATAATTTTGTTGTCCTATATTGCCATCAATATTACACATAATATTGTAAAGTTTTATATCCTAAATAACTTACCAATGTTTTTCTTCACACTTTTGAAACAAATTAATTATCTCGAAAGTTACTTTTTGAGGGTTGGTTCTAGTTTGCTTAACTATGTCCAATTATGCAGAGGCCATTTAACCAAAAAGAAGCAAACAGGGCGTTAAAAAACATGATAAAGTCACCTCTAAGTGTAGAACGTCGAACTTTTATGGTTAAAGTTATTTTTCTAAAAATTTTTTTGGGAATGGGAGCGTTGAGATCCCTCTACATAAAATATGTACAGATTTTATGAACAGCACCAACAAGTTTGTCATCCCTGTTTCGCCTACTGTTATCCCTAGGCAGTCTTATATAATGTGTCATCATGATGATGATGATATCGTCCTATGTACATCATCTAGGTATAATCGGTCCAGGCAAAGAGTATTAACAGATACCACAAATGATGCAAGCCAGTTAATGAATACGAATGAAACACGCCAAACAAAAATACCATGAAATTAAAAGTATTGAACTTTTTATTTCTTACTAGGGTAGCTAGGTTGGTACTTACCAGGAAAACACGTCACAAGGGTTGCTATCACTACCTTCGATATAAATGGCACAATCACCTTCACTAGATTGTCAATAACACTAATATTAAAGTCACTGTTTTCACTTCTCTGAGGCTCCATTTTTATTCAGGGAATAAAATAAAACACTTATGAAATGAACTTCGCAAAAGCAAATGCAAGGAAAACAATTCACGGGATTTTAAAAGGTGTTTAGCATTAGGTGCTCTATAAGTGACTCTCACTACACAAGCACTGCCAAGCGCTGCCAGTCAAAGAATAACATAGTAATGGTATCTGCGTCTACCAACAAGCTAACTGTAGTCCTGCCGTTCAGATCCCGGAGAAAGCCCCGCCCCCTGACCAAGCCCCGCCCCCTGACCAATCCGGTTCCAAAACATTGGAAAGTCAAGTTCACACTGACCAAACTTTTGTAAGCAACGGTTGGGGTTTTTTATGTTAGATTGATTTTAAAATGTGTACCTCGCCTTTTTGTGAGTATAAAAGTGGATCAATAATTCGTAGTAGAGAAATACCTAAGACTAATTTACCTACCTTGTTTTTAACTACTTCAATCTGTGTGACTTACTGAATACTAAGTGAACTCTACTATACCAGGTACATGAGAATACCTTTTAAAACCTTTGTGAGATCAAGAGTAGATCGGAACTTAATTTTGAACTAATTTAATTACGAGAGATTAACCTTCAGTTCCAAGTTACCTTGAAATCAATAATACCATCCTTCTCTGTACATATCTTTGGTACAAGAACAACAGAAGCTCTTAGCTCTAACATTATTGATTTCGTCAAAGATATGCAGGTATCTAACAGCAAAAAAGAAAATTATTATTCCTACAAAATATTTTGAGTCAATGAGAGCTTTAAGCTCCCCACTGCACAAATACCTATGTAGATACCTATCTCGTAGATTGTATGAACGGCAGGTTCGTCTTCCCTGTTTCGCCTACCATTATTCCCATTATCCCTATACCTAGTGTTATAAGAGCGTCATTTAAAATCGGTACAGGTACGATATTTTAGTCGATGTCCACAAGTGATGCTAGACAGGCACTGAATACGAGTGAAACAGGTGGAACACAAATACCATGCAGTTTAAACTACTACTACTACTAAACTTTCTACTTACCATTTCCTCCAAAACTCGATACAAGGGCGGTTATCACTATCTTCGATAAACAAAACAGAACCATATCAACCAGACGGTCCATAACAATAATATTAAAGTCACTGTCTTCATCTCTTTGAGGCTCCATTTTTATACAGGGATTATAATACAACTAAACACTTATGAAATAAACACATTCACTGCCTAGTGCAGCTAGCGAAAGAACAACAATGGTTAAAAAAATTAAAATCAACTGTATTTATATAATTCTACTAATCGTTTGAGTAAATTTAATAATTAACTAATCGTAGTTCAAATCCTCAATATCCAACTTGACCATGATTCATTTTCATTATATAATGACTTCCTATCTTTATATCGAGATCATTAGGTAATGATTGCAAAATGAATTTAAAGATTATTAATGATTTGGTAAAAACTACTTAATTTTTCTCTAAAATAAAATGTTTATCCATGTATTCTCTTTAACATCCTGTTCAATCATAACTAGCTTCTACTTCAAACAACAGTTCAAGTTCCTTAACTGCTGGACATGGGCCTCTCCTTAGAAAGTAGGTTTTGGCCTACTATACCACGCTGGCCAGACCGCTTGGTATAGGGTTTGTTTCAAGTTTTCCTTCCCTCTGCAGTGCTATTGTTCTGCGTAGTTTGCTCCCTTTATCGGCTCTTACGGAATGAATAGGGGTGGTGACATTCCTTATTCTTAATCCGACATCACACTTTTATATTCATTAGCATTTAATCTGTCAAAACTCATTGCTCCTTTAACTACTACTGTCTCTACGAAACATTTTGGTCCATCCTAAGGTTGCCTGGAAGAGATTGCTCGTAGCAACAATCAACGGTATTCCATTTAGTGATTCATATTTTGTAAATTCGCAATTAACAAAAATAAAAATCACCTGTATTTAAGAAATTGTTCTTCTCAAACTGATTAATCATTTAACTAATCGTAGCAAAACATTTCCAGTTTCTATAATGACTAAAATATAATTAAACAGGTCGAAGTCACCATGAACTCAATGGTATAAAATTAAGAGTTAATTAACTTAAAATTAATTAAAATACCACCCCTCTCTCCACATGTCCTTGGTACAAGAACAAAATACGTGTAGGTATTTTTAAATAGATACATTGTCATTACTATCATTGTCAGTGTGGTAACGGATTAAGAATACGGAGTGTCACCACCCCTATTCTTCCCGGTGGTGTCGTAAGAGACGACTAAGAGAGCAAACTACGCAGAACAATAGCACTGTACAGAGAAGGAAAACTTAAAACAAACCCTATATCTACAAATCTGGCGAGCGTGGAAAAGTAGGCTAAAACGAATAGGCCTCTGAATAGAAAGAATTCCAAGAAGAGACTTATGTCCATCCGTGGATTATTAAAGGCAATTAAACTAAGTCTTGCTAGTAAGTCTAAATTCTTTGCCATTTTTTTTTGTAATAGTTTTTAAACTTAATTCAATCGAAATCGCCTTGTAGCCTAATAGTTAATTTGACACTCATATATCATCATTATAAACCTTCACTTAGTAGTCTGATAAATATATTTGTAGGTAACTATTAATTTTCTAACTATTCAGTTGAACTGTCATTTAAAGCATATGTTATTATTTGATTGATATGAGTCAGAGACAGTTCGAGGTCATCAGGGATTAGTGAGCATTGTGCGGCTTTAACTACATTTGGAAGGTCATTAGTTACAGTATGAACATGAGAGGCCTAAGAACTTAAAGTGACTCATTACTTCAGACTATGTCTGGTTCACCTCTAACAATTTAGATAAGCTCCTGGTGCATGTGGTGCAGTGCTGTTTCTTAAGTATTGTATTTAAAAATTGTACTTACCTATTTCTTTTAGTCAAATGTTTCTTGGTATCGTCACGGTAATGCTGAACAGTAGATATGTCTATTTTTTCACCTTTTGGCAATAATTCAATTTCTTTTTTCAGTTTCTGACAGTGCCTAAAAATGTAACATAACTTGTAATAGGTGGTTTATTTTAGGCGTACATTAGGAGTTAACTAGTTACTAACCTACTGCTTCCTAAACGTCCGGAACATGTGAAATTTACTTGTGTTTTGTATAGGACGGATACCAATGGTGGTCAATTACCATCAGGTTGAGGACCAACCTGATGTTAAGTGCCTCTACCCCCCACTAAGGAATAAGGGGTTGGAACAATTGTAAGAATAACACTGGTGCTCTGTGAGGCTGTGGCATCATTCCGATTTAGATTAATTTAGTTTTAGTAACAGTCACTCTGTACCCTTTAATGTTCTTTTAGAAGTTTTTCTTATTGATTAGCTCCATTTGCCGATTATAGAATTTCTTTACGATCTAATGATATGAGAGGTCTTCCAGCGTATGCTGAGTGGAGATCCATACGGCTGCGCAGTACTGGCACTGTGCCGTCTTCTCGCATCAACCTTGCCCAGTAAGCATCGCAGTAAGCATCATCAGAAATGAGTTTCGACGGCAGATAGACAAGTTGGAGCAGAGAGTTGATAGTGATTTTTTTAACTAAACTAGGGTTGTTATAGAAATTTAATTTAAAAAATGCCCCTAATAATAATTAAATAGCCTCGGTAATAAAAGTAAATGCTTTTGTGATTTCGTAATTACTATTACCAAAACAGGTGTAATATTATTCATACGCTCCAATCCGCACCGTAACGTCTAGAAGGTATCGTTAGCTCAGGTAGTAAATGAAAAATTAACAGGAACTCCCTATTGTTGTTGTTCTTAGGTTCTTATCTTTAAAAGAAACAATGCCTTTTAGCGGCACAAAACCAAAATAGCTTAAGTAATAAAAACGTAATAACTGTAGATATGCATGTAAACAATAAGAAAATTATTAAAACATATATCCTTACGTCTGTATATACTATTGTGAATAAAGAATGACTAAAAAGGCATTATTTTGTATATTTGTATTAACGGGTGCCGGGTGGTAGCATCATTGTTGTGTTTATGGCTTGCTAAGCGTTTATTAGTTCGCTTATGTTTTACACTGACCATACTGTGGGGCCGTTGTGGCGTTATTCACTAATTATTTAATTATTACTTGATTTTTTGTGAAGTATTTGAAGCGGTACCTACTGAAGATTTTATACGAATTGGAGGAATAATAAATTTAAAGGATTACAAAATGATTTTAGAGCAAAAAGCTATTCCTTCCGGACTAATGTTAATTGCAAACAAATTCATTTGTTAATATTTTACTACCAGGTAGCTGTCTATATAAGTAGTCACTTAGGCCATTTTTCCTCTCAGGAAAACCTTTTAAAATTTTGCCCGGCCCGGGCATCGAACTATCCAATGCAGCGCTTTTCAAATTTACCAGCTAGTTATCAATGTATTTCAACCCAAACTCAACTGTCGTGTAAACGGGGCCATTATATCGCAGTCCCCGACGAACACTATGGTAATCGCTATAACGATAGAATCGGGTTTATTAGATATTCGTTATCTACACACCCTATTACAATCATTGAATTTTTTTTATGATCGGGCGATGAATACTTTTGGATTTATCCATTCAATAATGATCTTTATGTTTTGGTTCAACGTATAACATAAGTGAAAAATTTACACGATCAATAACGCAAAAACCTATTACCAAATCTCAAAAGTCAACATTTTAGAGTAAGCGGCTATTACCATATTGATCGAGGGAAAAATGACAGAATCAGAATCAGAATTTATACATAGGTACCGAAATGGTTATAACACCTAAAAATGATCAACGAATAAGCATGTAATTTATGTTTACCGTAATATTAAAGTCAGTTATATCATCGAATACGATTGCAATGTCATTTTACGAATATAAAGTATATTCATATTTACCATGGAACAACATCATAATGAACGATTACTACAGCAACACCGATTTGTGATTACAGTCGAACACTATCGTAAAGTTAGTTTGCGTTAATTTTTTCCATAGCTTATTTCAGTAATGGGCATTTTCACAATTTTCTTACTGATAAAGAAAATTTATGATAAAAATTTAGTAAAAATCTAGTGCAAAAAAATATTTCCTTATTTTTGATAAAAGAATCTTCTTTTTAGTCTTGATAGTATTCAAGATATTCAGTTTTTATTTGCTCCTGTAAAATTGTTATTTTCCTATTACGATTTTGTTCGTCGGGGACTGCGATATGTAGGTACTTATACACAAAGGTGTCGGTAACTGTAACAGTGTCGCGAGTTTAATGTTTTTTTTCCCAGCTCAAAAAATACATTATTTTGTTTATTTTTTAATAACGTATATATATATATATATATGTATTTTTTTATAATTTATATTTTTTTAATAACTGCTTGGTAATTTTTTTGTAACGGTGACGGAGTGGAAAATCTCTTAGGATCTCCGGCTCCTTAAGGGAGGCATGAGTTAGGAGTATGTGATATTTCCACTAAAAACCACCCCGACGGCCAGCATCAGGTGACCTACTATAGGGAGGACCCGGACCATGTAATGACGTTTTTGGCGTGTTGATATAATATTTTTTTAGGCTAATTTGTCTTGGCATAATATTAGTAGACATATAAATCAATAGAAATAATGGAATTTGTATCAATAGGTTAAGACCAAGAGGCCACCCTCTTGGTCTTAACCACCCCTTGTGCTACCCCTAAGCCGCCAATATGTTTTACATACGTATAACAAATTTACATTTATAAAATGTGTTTCATTGTCCAACATTTTAGGACTTCATTATTATGCGTATTTCTAATGTCATTAAAAATTATGCTTTAATATCAGTCTTCCTCCGATCAGAATTTTTAAACTAAACTAGGACTGTTATAGAAATTTAATAAACAAAACTCCCTAATGAACAGACAGCTTCGTAACTAAAAGAAAATATATTGTTCTTTTTTGATTTCGTAATTACTATTACTAAAACCGGTGTGATATTATTCATACGCTCCAATCCGCACCGTAACGTCTTGAAGGTATCGTTAGCTCAGGTAGTAAATGAAAAATTAACACGAACTCCCTATTGTTGCTGTTCTTAGGTTCTTATCTTTAAAAGAAACAATGCCTTTTAGCGGCACAAAACCAAAATAGCTTAAGTAATAAAAACGTAATAACTGTAGACATGCATGTTAAC